CCTCCCTGGGCCAAGCAGCATCTGTGGAGAGTTGACCCCTGGCCTCCAGCAGCCTGCTTCCCCCAGGCTTGCCCCAGGAGACTGAGTGCAGGCCAGCCTGGGAAGAGCCTGGCTGGAGCTCCTTGGACCCAATTAGAGGGAATGGGGGCCACAGGCAGGCCCTACCCAGCCCTGGGCCGCTCTTTCCCAAGTCTTAGGCAGTTTAGTGGTCCTAGGCGTTAATCAACTCTAAAGAGGCCTCAATGAAATCACCCTTTCTCCCTTCTAGTCACCGTGGAAACCATGCCACAGAAGGGTTAAGAAATCTTCCTAACGTCCCTCAGTAGGCCATTTAGAAGCCAGGACCCCAGCCTCTGTATCCCTTTTGCTCAGACCCTTTACCTTTCCACCAAAGCTAGCTAATCCCAGTACATCGAGCCCACAGCCAGAAAAGCCTCTGGGCTCCGTTGTCAAGGTCAGAGCCTCAAAAGTAACTCAAGCCTAGTCTATGCTCAATCCTTTAAGTATGTAAGCAGCCAATTGGGAAAGTTCCAACATTAGTCCAGACCTCTGGTCTCCAAGATTGAGGAATGACTGGACAGAGGGCTCCCTTCCCCTGCCCCCACTTGTCCTCAAAAGAAGATAGACGAGCAGTGACTGGCCAAGAATAAAGGGGAGAGACACACACACCCCCACACTCCCTCCCCTACAGGGACCCGGGGATGCCAGTTTGCCGCCATTTGTCCCACTGGAGAGGTTTCTGCAGAAGGAACTTCAGATTCATTGTCTCCCCATTTCAGTATCAATTTCAACCCTCCCTAGTTCATGCAACCCTTTTGTAAACATTAAATGTCATTAGAAAATTCCAGGTAAATGTTGTGACTAAAAAAAAAAAAACAAACAGCAGTCGTAATTTTAGAATATGCCCTTGCAAATGACAGTGCCCTCCCCCATCAGATCTGATCCCCTTCCGTGGGTGGGAATCCCTGTCCAAGGTATTAACACTTCCCTTCTGGGCAGTATAGCCCCATCCACCCAGGCACACACATGCAGAATCCACACTGACAGAGAGGGAATCCCAGCTTGGTGTGGCAAGAGGAGAATGGGGCCAGAGTCTGGACCATGTAAGTGGTGGTTCTTTGGGGCCACCAAGCACAGTTGCTCACCTGTTAGTGCTGAGGTCTCAACACGGGCTTCCAGGAAATTAGGTGAGGACAAGAGAGTCAGAGGGAGGGCCTGAGAAATGAGCTGAGCCAAGGAGAGGCAGGGTGAAGGCAGCAGCGGGCTTTCCAGAAGCAGGTGCCCCTCAGTGCTGACAGCATCCGTCCCTGGCCCTCTGCCCCTCTTTCTAGGGCCTCTCTCCCTGGATGCCCAGAAATTTGACCCAACTCCCCATTAACTGCCTCTGCCCCCATCTCCTAGGTGATGCTTCTGGGAGACTCAGGCGTTGGCAAAACCTGTTTCCTGATCCAATTCAAAGACGGGGCCTTCCTGTCCGGGACCTTCATAGCCACCGTCGGCATAGACTTCAGGGTGAGGTGGCTGTAGGCTCCTCCTGCCAGCAGCAAGCCAGGGGGACCACAGCTCAGGCCCAGGGTGCTGTCCTCTCCTTGCCTGCCCTGGCTCCTCAGAGCTGCTGTGGCTCACTGTCCAGAGGGCACCAGGGACCACAGAGGTGGCCAGGTTCAAGGAGTCTGGGCATGGTGGGCTCCTTGCCCACCTATAGGATAAGTCTTACAATTCTGCCCCAGAACAGGGCAGACACATCCCAGGGTGTGAGCTGAGTTTCCTGGCCTTCGGTCCCCTTGCTGTTTGCCCCTTGAGCTGGGCCCTTCTGGCAAGGCCTCAGAGGTCTCCCTGTCTTTCTGGAGTTCCCAGAAGCACAGCACTACATTAGGTTGAAGAGCCAGGCTGGCCCTGTGGGGAGAGAGCAGCTCACCAGGCTCCCTCCCTCTCGTCTTGAGGAACCCATGTTTACAGATCTGCAGCAGGGACATAGCACAAAGGTTCTGGGAGAGTAAGGTCTAACCCAGGCTGGAGGGTGGGAGGAAGGAGGCTGTGCAGAGGCTGGGTGCCTCCCTCCCAATGGGAGGAGAACTGAAGCTTCCCTCTGGAGAACTGGTGAGCAGCTAGGGGAAAGCAGATTCTGCTGATCCAGCCTCTGTAGTGCCCAGGATGCTGGGGGGGGGGG